GGACTCTTTCAGCAACCTTCCAACCCTACTTGATGCCTTCCAATCCATTCTGAAACCGTACCTTCATACTAATTTTCTGTTAATTTTCATCAAGCATCAGTGTAATCATGTCTCAACAGCTTAAAACACACACATACATGAACACACAGGCAGGCATGCAGCTCTTCGATGGTTTCCTGTTTCCTGAAGAATGAAAATTAAATTTTATTTGATATTCAAGGTCTCTATAAATATGGGCCAACCTTAGTTTACAGTTTTAATTGGTATTATCCAGTCCTACACACCTGCTAAATTAGTCTGATACTCTAATGATTTATACGCAAACTCTCTGCCTGTGCTCATGCCATTTCTTTACATAGCAAATAATTATTAGTATAAAACAAAAATACCCATGATTTTCAAAATATCTGCTCCAACGAGCCAGATATAAGCAAGATGTTTTGCATGAATTAGCTCTACGGGTCACAAAAACCCCCTCAAGGAGACAGCATTATCTTGCTTTTTACCCAGGCTTGGAAATCTAATGTAAATCACCCAAACACAGAAAGGTGGCTAATTTGTAAAGACAGTGTTATGAACTAAGCGTCTGTGCTCCTTCGAATTTTATTTGTTGAAACCCCAATCCCCGGTGAGATGGCATTTGGAGACGGAGCCCCTGGGAGGTAATTAGCGTTACATGAAGCCACACCTCTGGGCACCGAAACCTTCAAGGGAAAATCAAACCCCACACACAGAAAGCTGCTCACTCTCTGAATCTGCAAGGCACTGAAGCAACATTTGACAAGATTATCAGTGAGGATCTGAAGTAGACGGATCACAGACAGGGCTCACCAGATGTCACGATGACTAAAGAGTCACAGTGGTTTTACGGTACCATTAAGGTACGTGGGGGGCCGGGGGAGGGGGCGCGGAGGGAGCCTACCTTACATTTAAAAGCATGTATGAATCTAATTTGTAATGCTGGTTCTAAAATCTTGAATATAATGCATTTTCTAAACAAGTTATTCAGTCAAAATCAGATGAAATCATGCGTAAGCCTCCAAGCACTAATTCTGTGTAAACTAAGTGCCTCTGGAAAGCACTCTATGAGAAATCTAATTCCAGAACTAAATTCACATAGGAGAGCTGCCCGTAATATTGATTTGGAAATCATTAGCCATTAAATCATTCATTTAGCTAAATAAATAATGATCAATTTTCTTCAGCTAGTCTCCAGAAAAAGCTTTTCATCAACTTTATTAAAAAATTCTGAAAAGCCAGATCATATTGGGAAGTTTAATTTGTATCATGACCTATTTCTCAACCAAAGTCAGAAGTCATAGTTTCACAACTTCTATTTTGGGTCATTTAGCCTAGATCACTCTTCAAATCTGCTGACTTTCGGACAAATATTTGATTTTATAAAGTACCCGAAGACACCTATTTCAGATAAAGTAGCATTATCAAGAGATGTCAAATGTTGATAGCATTTAGGAACATGCATCATAAATTACATAAAGGGATATTATTATTAAAATTACCTTTACATATAAAAAAAATCCATTCTTAATATACACAAGTGTTCTGAGATCTTTTTCCCACTCTACTAAACAATACTGGGAGCAAATTTTTAATCCTTTAATGGACTTGGATTCTTTCCTTTGGTGGAGTATTAAAATCAGCACCAGAAAAGACAATTTGAAGAAACACCATGCCAGAAAAAACCCACCTGCAGTCCCACTAAAATCTCACAGACACTACTAAGAATAGTACACACGCCCCTGGGAAGTCAGGTTCAGATTCGCCAAGAGCACGGCCTCAACTGCTGTCCCGGCGACTGGAACACACACACTGTGCTCACTCTTGTCACTGTGGAGAGGCTGATTTCTCGTATACCACATGGAAAACCTCAGAAGCCCTGTAAACATGTTAGAAACACACAGGACACTCAGGGTCTGACCCTCAGTGGGAAGAGACCAGACACAGACACAAAAGGTATAGGTGGCATTCTCCAGACTTGCCAGCTGAGAGGTTTAGAAAGCCCGTGTGTCGGACTGAAGAACAGACGCGTGATGGGTGGGGAGAGGCTAGCATGTTAGTGAAACTTCCAAAGGGTCTTAACCATGGCTTCCCCAGTGAACTGTCTTAGGAACTCTAGAAATATTTCAGGCATAGGCTGCACTCCAGAGGTTCTGAAATACAAGGTCTATAGTGGGGGCCAGGCTTCAGTTCTTCTTAAAAATTCCCCAAGGAGTTCTAACATGAAACAATTCCCCCTGCTCTTTTGATGTGCATTGCCCTTCCTCATCCTTCAAATCCCAGGTCAAGTATCACCAGCTCCAGGAAGCTCTTCAGGCCACCTTTCCACTCGGCTGTCACACTCTATAACCTCAGCACCTCTTGTGTCCGCTCTTACCGTCCTTATCACACACAAATGTGTCTGTCTCCTCACCTGGACAGTAAGCCCTTGGAGGATAGGACCATGTCTTCTGTGACTTCACATTCCAAGTACAGGGACAGTGCCGAGCACACAGGCGGCTCAAGGACCATTCCTTCGGTGAGTCAAGGATACGTGGTGAGAAAAGGCACCGGATGGGGGACCCCTGGTCCAGCATCAGGCACGTGTCCCCTACTCCCCACTGCGCCTGAAGATAGCATCTCTACCAGCTTCACGTCTCAAGATCACTTGGATGTCCCACCATTCAGTTACCAAGTGCAGCAGAGATGGTCAAGTACTCTCAAGACCCTATGAAAAGGGCCTACTAACCCAGAGATCTGTGCCTCAGGAGGGCCTTTACTTTCTTGAGAAATACAGCTCTGGAAAATAACAGAAGCCTTAAACCACTGAGAAAGCAGTCTGAGAGGGGCTGCTTGCTCTAAGAAGGCGTCCATCTGTCAGACCTTCACAATGTGATGCCACCGTTTAGCCTGTGTACGAAGCATGCTTTCTGTATGAGAGATACTCACATCCGCACATGTATGTAGGATGCAAGCTAAAGAGAAACACTGTATCGATCGATGTTTCCAAACTTCCTGGTTATGATTCTACCCCATTATTATGCCAATCAATGGGTGATACACTTCGACATCCAACCCACTATTTTCCTAAATTCTTAGATTCTGTCTCTACAAAGCATCTCAATAATCATTCATACTTTGATCCATAAGCAAACAATTAGAGAGAATTTATCCAGAAACAAGTCTGAGGAACACATGGGTGAAACGGAGGACACCTCCTATTCCTCTGGTATCTCTGGTCATGTGTGGAAAAATGAAAGGGGAACAAACAATAATTCCATTTGGAAGTGCTTTTACTCTTCCGGATGATTTTTTTCCTCCTCATCACAAACTCCACCCTGCAAAAATGAGATCTTCGACATATTAACAAATTTTAAATGGAAAATATCCAACTAAGTGACACTGGCATGTTTTTGTTCGTGGCTGTTATCATTTTTGATTCGGGGTCTAACACAGCACCCTGCAGAGGCTGGTTCCTACTACCCACTGCAGTGATCGGACAAAGCTGAATCTGAATTAAGTTCAACCAACCACTGGCTCTGTAACTCAAAACAAAAATAAAGACAAAAACAAGAAGAAAACAAAAAACACTATTTCGTGTCTCTGAGACATGATTCTTTACCTGTAAAGTAGGACTGATGGTTAACTATCAGGTGGTCTGAATCTAAGTCATTCAGATTAAATAAAATTTATTTAAATAAAATTTATCATTAATCTGAATCTAAGTCATTCAGATTAAATAAAATGCTGTACTAATAGCATCTGATATAGGGCTTCTCTTTCAGGAGACAAAGTAAATGCCATCTACAAATAAAAGTCTACAGAACTGAAAAAAAAATACTTAAAAGACAATTACAAAAAGAAAATAATAAAGAATAATTAAAAGGGCAAACAGCAATGTAACTATACTCTTCATGTGTATTCAGCACTGTTTGTAAGACATGCCATGAATTTAATAATAGATTTTTGGAGAAAAACAAACAAACAAAAATGTACTCATCAATTGTGAGACCCTGATTTCAGAAATAAGAGGTAAAAAAAACACATGCATTCAGAACTGAAGAAAAATGGTATACTTAACAAAAACTTCTGGTATTCAAGTGGTATTTGCTCCCCCTCTTTCCAACTACATATAAATACCGATTAAGAAAAGATTATCCAAAAATGAGTGACAGTATCAGGATTCTGGGGAAACGGCCGTTGTAGTCCGCATATACATTTTCCCAAATTCTATCCCATACATCGATGTGCTCAGTTAAGACGGCATCATCCAGATTTACTGGTAGTGAGAGACAGCCGGAAATATGTAATTGGCAGACATGGATAGGACTGCCAAGGACACTGTTTGGCCCTCCCTCCTCTTTTCTTACTGATGCCTGGAATGTAGACAAGATGGCTGGAGCTCCAGCAGCCTTTAAATCATGCGGTATTCACTAAGGATGACAGAGCAGAAAATGAAAGAAAATAGTCAGGAAACTACCCTGGAACCTTAAAAAGAAGTTAAGGAGACAAAAGAGAAAAAAACGTACAAATGGCAGGATGCCATTGGTGACCTTACGCACAATGAATTCTTTTCAAAAAATTCTATTTGGAAAGATATGCTGCCATGCAGAAAATTCTTAAATGAAATACACATCTATGTTCTGTGAAGCAAATACTTCAGAGTTCTTAATTAACACATAAAATCAGAAAGCATCAGATGTTTACTGAGCACTCTATAACATTCACTGTTAAGAATCACTTCGCATAACTACAAACTTAAATACAGTAATTACATCATCCTTATCCATTTAAATCCTCTATACTAGTAAGTATTCAGAAAACAGAAGGTACTCAATAAACGTTTTAAAGACGTGAATGATGGTGTCAAGTTAAGCTATTCAAAATTACTGAAAATGTATATTCTTGTTTTTCCCTACTTCCATTCACTCAGATAGTTTTTTCACTTATGGATCTCCTAAGAAGACTTACAAACTGTCAAGAGCTAGAACTTTCCTTCATACCTTCTGTTGTCGGAAACACCTCCTCTCCTTCCGTTTTAGTCTCTGCCAGCTTTCCAGTTCTTAGCAATACTTCCGCAAAGCTCTCTCCCGGAACGTGCTGATAAGGGTCACAGGTCACTGCAGACTAGACAGAAGCAGTTACACCATTTAGTAGGGTGTCTTTTCTCCTGTGAAGATATTCTAAGAACAGAATCATAGGCTTTTGTATCTCCTGATGAGGCGAATAATAACTTCTCACTAAAGCATGTTATTTTATGTAAAGTTTTAAATAGATTATGTCATAATATACACAAGTCATATAAAACCAATGAATAACATGAGTAAGAATGAAGCCAAAGAAGTACATTTTCAGCATCATTTTAGTTTTTGTTTACACTACAATGCCCACAACAGCACGACAGCTGAATCTGTGTTCTTAGGCACGCTGCCCTTACCTCTGTGACAAAGGGATCGGAGAGGACAGCCTCATAGAAAGGATGGCAGCCTTGTTTTTCTAGACCTTCATTGGCTATGGTTCCCGTCTGATAAGCACCGCCAAATTCTCGCCCCTAAATAGAACAAAGTGAGGAACAGTGGATAAAATGAAAGAGCCCTGGGGGTGGAAAGGGAAGGCGGGATTATTTCAGGAGACACTGACCCATGTGCGGAGTGTGATCTGCATGGAGTGTGTCAGAGTGACTCAGACACCCCGCAGAGGACGGAAGAACAACAACTACATTCTAAGAGCAGCACGTCCGCCTGACCCTGCAGCACACCTCTGGATTTTCCCGGTCCCTTTGACATCAGTGAATCAGAAACAAAGCAGCAATCAGCGTGAAGCTCACGGCAAGCTTTCTGCCCTACAGTCAGAATCACCTTCCTCAGACATCACTGCCCAGCTTTGAGCAATATCAACAGGCAAGAGCATCAAGTCTAAACTACGTAAAATAACATTTCAAGTTCCTTGATGTTAGTTGACATTAAGGGCTAATTCTTCACTCCAACCAACCGATCTACTGCACGCGTCCTACCAGCTTCTAGGCCTTTCCCCCACTAGCAGGGACCTGTCCACGCTCACATGCCACCTGCTTGCGGGCCTGCCTCACAGCTCCCCTGCTACAACCTCCCAGCTGGAGGCCAGGAGGAGGCGCCCCGGGCACGTCTCCGCTAACGTCCCCACTACCCCACGGCCCACTGTGTGCCAATCATGACCTCGGCGACGGCACTGCTGCACAGTATAACAACTATAATGGACACTTCCCGAAAGTGACACAGGGCCAGGCAGAGGGCTAAACATGTCATCCGAGACACGGAGCCCCAAAAGGTCCAAGAGGGGACACAGAAAAGTAACCGTAATCACCATCAGGGTGACGCGCGCAACGACAGGGGACACAGAGCCGTCCCCCGAAGTGGAGCACACGCCACCCCGGTCAGTGGCGCTGACATCTACCCCACTGTCTGGGCCGGGGCATCCGTGGCCCTCCTCTTCGCGGCACAGCCCACCGCCCGGCCCATCGGCAGGTCCACGAAACGCACCGCCCGCTCTCCCCCTGGCTGTCCCGGCGCTGCCACCACCACCTCGCGCTCGGTGCCCTCCTCCGGACACACTGCCAGCGCTCGCCACGGCGCTCAGACGACCTCAGGTGAAGGTGGGTCGCACAACAGCAGCGCCTGCAGCCCCGCCAGGCCCCGTCCGACTCACAATTAACGCCCCCCCGGCCGTACAGGCTCTGACGTCGGCCTCTTCACCGGCCCCTTGAGCGCATCCCCCACCGCCCCGCCCTGCAGTTCGCTCTGTTCGTACCCACCGGCCTCCTTTCTGTTCCGTTCTACAAGGATGTCAAGCGCCTTCCTTCCAAAGGGGCTCTGCATCTGCTGTCCGTGGCTCAGCCTTCTGTTTAGAGGGGCTCCCGAGGACCCCACCGTCCTGTCTCCGTCAGACACCAGGGCTCCCCCTCCCAGCTCGGGTCCTTCTCCCGCGACCTCGCCGAAGGGGTCCTCCCCGCCCTCCTCACTAGCACGGCTCCACCATCGCACACGTGCTTTCCTCAGATGCGGGCTTTGTGCGTGAAGGGCTTCCCGCCCGGTCCCCGTCACTGATACACCCAGGGCGGTGACCTGGTAAACGCGCAGGTTTCCTTGTCCCCCGAGCTTTCCGGTGGGGCATCGGGCTGCAAGCTGAGGCCGCGGGGAAGGGGGCAGAGGGGCAACGGGTTCCCGTGCCACGGAAAGCACGACCGCTCCACCGCCTGGCCTGGGCTCCATTTCCAGAATGGATGGAAGAGTCTGGTAGGCTGCTCTGTTTACCCAGAGCACCTACGAAAAACTGAATGTTTCTGTCACCTGCTGAAATTCACATGTCGAAACTCTAAGCCCCAACATGACAACTAAGAGGTGGGGTTCTGGGGTGTATATACATGACAGAATATTACTCAGCCGTAAAAATGGATGAGATCCTGTCATTCGTGGTGACACGGAATGACTCAGAGGGCATTATGCTAAGTGAAGTAAGTCAGACAAAGACAGACAAATACCATATGATTGCACTCCTGTGGAATCTAAAAAACAAAGTAGCAAACTAAAAAAAAAAAATAAAACGAGAACTGGTGGGCACTGGCCGGGGGGGGGATGGGCAAAATGGGCGGAGTGGGGTGGGAGACACAGGCTTCCAGTTACAGAACGAATAAGTCACGGAAAGGTACGGTGTGGGGATCACAGTCAAGGGCACTGTGTTGTATGGCGGCAGGTGGTAGCTACGCTTGTGGGGACTACAGCATAATGTATACGGCTATCAATCACTATGTCATACCCTGAAAAAAAAAAAATAAGAGTTGAAGCCTTTCAGAGGTGATCAGCTCAGCAGGATGGGGCCCTCATGAACAGGCCCCCTTATAAAAGAGGTTCCAGAGAGTTCCCTCACCCCTTCCACCATGTGAGAACACAGCAAGCAGGCCCCACCAGACACTAAATCTACCAGAGCTTTGATCTTGGACTTCACAGCCTCTAGAACTGTGAGGAAGAAATGGTTGTTTAAGCCCCTCAGTATGTGGTATTGTTGTTAGAGCAGCCCCAACACCCTCCGCTCCCCTGCCGGCTTCTAGTGCTTTTTCATGACTAGTGGCCCACAGAAACAGAGCGAAAACAAGTAGGCATTGATGAAATCATTTTCCTTTTCATCCCACTAAATTTTAATTCTGACACCTAATCAAACCACACCTAAATCTTGTACCAGTGTCTTCTGCCAAGCACCCTATGGGGAATATGCCACATTCTGTAAAATAAATTACTCTTTGCCTGGCTGATGGGAGGTTTAGATGTCTTAAGAGATTATTTTAATGATCTAGAGAAGATAAAGCTGTAACAACATGGAAACACCTGAAAAGCAGTGCTGATGGGTTGACACAAGCCACACAACTGATTTTAAAAAGAAAGAGGCACCGCTTACTTGAAGCGGCCGAAGGTACGTTAAAGACTTCTTCCACCACTGCCCGTCACTCACGGCCTGCAGCACGGCCTTGGTGGTCGTCGTGGTGCTGGACAGGACTTTCCTGGTGGCCGCGGAGCCCCACGGGAGCAGGTCTGCGCTGCTGCCGGGAACACTGACATCACCCTAGAGAAAAAAGAAAACGGCAAGAGCAAAACCGTGCGCTGTTGTAAGAGCAGAGAGTGATAACGGGATCACTTAAAATTATCACACGTGCAGATACATCTCTGGGGCGCCGGGGCGGCTCAGCGAGTTGGGCGCCTGACTCTTGGTTTCGGCTCAGGTCATGATCTCGCGGTTTTGGGGATTCGAGCCTCGTGTCAGGCTCTGCGCTAGTTACTGATTCAAGAATCCAAATTCATTTAAAAAGCCCATGGGGAGCACCTGGGTGACTGGGTCAGTTGAGCAGCCTTGATTTCGGCAATGATAGTGATCCCAGGGTTGTAGGATCAAGCCCTGAGTTGGGATCCCCGCTAAGCATGGAGCCTGCTTAAGATTCTCATTCTCTCTCTCTCTCTCTCCCGACAACCCCACCCCACTCATGCTGTCTCTGTCTCTCTCAAAATAAATTAAAAAAATAAGCAAATAAATAATAAAATCCATCTTTGCTAGCAACAAAGAATCAGGAAATGAAGCACTATTTGCATATCGTGCCTCCTTGGAGCATTTACAAAAGAAAATTTGGTAAAGGAAAAGCCATCATAGCGCATTGCCAAACAATCCCCTGCAGAACCATTTATAAAGTAAATAATAGGTTCTTGATTTTTTCCCATCTAATATCCTACAAAGAGAAATTCCCGTTTATTTCTTAGTCATTCTGAAGTATTTATTATTTAGATTAATTATGAAATAAATTATTCATCTGAACAATGCTACTGTGTCCCACACAAAGGGAGAGGATTCAGAGGCCCATCTACAAATGGTGAAAGGTATTCTGTTTTTCATCGAAACAAGTGGATGATTAATAGTGTTTAAAAGGTTTACAACATGAAACCCCTGTCAATCTTGAAGCAATCAAGCTACAGTTCTGACTCCGCATTTACTCACCTGAAAGATTCCATGTGGAGAAAAATGCTAATACATTAATTTCATTTTAAATGGAAATGACAACAATCACATCCACTTCTGATCAAAGAAAAACGTTACTTGTTCCATAAAAGCAAAGTTCTTGGTTTAGTGTTTACCTACTTCCACTTATTTTATGTTTCCCATTTTTTTTATTTTTTTTTTAAATATTTTTATTTATTTCTAGGAGAGAGAGAGACAGCGTGAGCAGGGGAGGGTCAGAGAGAGAGGGAGTCACAGACTGAAACAGGCTCCAGGCTCTGAGCTGGCAGTCAGCACAGAGCCCGACGCGGGGCTCGAACCCACGAACCGCGAGATCATGACCTAAGCGAAAGTCGGACGCTTAACCGACTAAGCCACCCAGGCGCCCCTAGGTTTCCCATTTAAATGAAAGCAAAACTTGAGGCCCAGTCCCTCTATTTCAATAGCCTTCCTAATACTAATAGAAGGGGAGCTAAGTTTGGCTATTGAGATCCATATCACAGCACTCAGTGATGCACTGAGAAAGTAGCAAAAAATGGAAATTGTATCATCACTCAGTAATCTCCCGGACACCATCCCATCACAAATAACGCACTACTGCAGACTAACCTGCCTGTTGCTCTGTGGGAAGTAGAATGAAGGCCCCAAAGATGTCCATGTCCCAATCCCTGGAACCTGGGAACACACTGCATTCCATGGCAAAGGGACTCTATAGATATGATTAAGGACACGGACCCCGAGGTAAAGAGATCATCCAAAATTACCGGAGTGGGATAACCTAATAACACGAGCCTTTAAACAGCAAAGCTTCCTCAGTTAGGGCAGGGTCAGAGAGAGGGTGGCCGGGACATGCCATGGGGGGGACCCAGCCCGTCGTCACTGTCTTTGAAGACGGAGGAAGTGACCAGAAGCCTAGGCGGGTGAGCGGTGTCTAGAAGCTGCAAACAGCCTTCAGGTGACAGCCAGCAAGGCTAGCTACAGGGACCTCCATCCCATGACCACAAGGAATTGAATCCGCCAACACCATGAGTGAGCAAGGACAGAGACCATCCTTTAGCAGCTCCAGAAAAGCACAGCCCTGTGTGCACCATGACCTTGGCCATGTGAGACTAAAGAGAGACCCATGCAAGTCTGCCACATCTCTGTCTGAGGGGAATTAGAAGATAATTTATTTGCATTGTTTTTAAGTGGCTAAGTTTGTGGTAATATGTTATAGCAGCAATAGAAAACAAATACATCAATGTTAGGGTACTTAATTTCTAGAAAACTTGTGAACTTTACTCTGACTTGCAAAATGAAATGAATTTAAGCTTTATTAACCAATGCTTACAATGTACCCAGTTTTTAAGGTTTCTCATAAGATTTTCTAAACTGTGGTTTCAACACGAAAAAAAAATTGTGTCCCAATACTAGAAGAAATAATAACTATGTGACGTAGTAGTGGTGTTAGTTAAGCTATGATGGCAACCATATTACAATGTAAATACGTCAAATTAATAAGTTGTATACTTTATGCTGAAACAATGTTTTATGTCAAATATATTTCAATTAAAAAGACGTTTTAAAAACTATGTTTCCTCCAGTCAGAGTGGCTAAAATGAGCAAATCAGAGGACTCTAAATGTTGGCAAGGATGTGGAGAAATGGGCACCCTCCTACACTGTTGGTGGGAATGTAAACTGGTACAGCCTCTCTGGAAAACAGTGTGGAGGTTCCTCAAAAAATTAACAGTAGAACTCCCCTATGACCCAGCAATAGCACTGCTAGGAATTTACCCAAGGGATACAGGAGTGCTGATGCATAGGGGCACATGCACCCCAATGTTCACTGCAGCACTCTCAACAATAGCCAACACATGGAAAGAGCCTAAGTGTCCATCAACGGACGAATGGATCAAGAAGATGTGGTTCATCTATATACTGGAATACCACATGGCAATGAGAAAGAATGAAACTGGCCACGTGTAGCAACATGGATGGACCTTGAGGGTGTTATGCTGAGTGAAATAAGTCAGGCAGAGAAGGACAGATACCATATGTTTGCATATATAGGAGGATTAGGAGGAACTTAACGGAGGACCATGGGGGAGAAGAAGGGGGGAAATGGTGGGGGAAAGGGAGGGAGGCAAACCATGAGAGACTCTTGAATACTGAGAACAAACTGAGGGCAGATGGGGTGGGGGGAGGGGAGGGGGGTGATGGGCATGGAGGAGGGCACTTGTGGGGATGAGCACTGGGTGTTATGGAAACCAACTTGACAATAAACTATTAAATAAATAAATAAATAAAATTCCCTAGAAAATTAAAAAAAAAACAAAAATAAAAACTGTGCTTCCTATAGGCTCTTTGGACATTGGGAAAAGTATAAAATATCAATTCGATGCAATCATTATAATTTGATTATAAAAACAACATAAAAACTGGATGTTAATAAGGAAAAAAAAAACACATTAAGTTGCTTATATACTTATAAGGGCAACAATGCTAAAAATAACTGTTTGGGGTTTAGGTGCCAATAAAACCCAGTACGTCTCCTAGGTTTCAGGTCCTATCAGATGGTGCAGCTTGGTTCGCTGAATGCCATTCGCACCTACAAATCGTCCTGCTACTGTTACAAGTTGAAAAGTCAAAGACTACAGCTCTCAGGCCCCTATATGGGCATTCCACATGTCATCTAGTTTCCCTCAAGTACATGCACCACCACCACCACCCCCCCCTCGCATGGAATTTGGGAGGCTGAAATGTAGGAGAGACCACACCTGTCACTTCCGCGTTCCGCTCCCTCCTTCCTTCCTCTTTCTCTTTTTCTTCCTTTCATAGTCTCAGCTGTTCTTCTACAACAGTGGGAATAGAAGCGCCAGAGCCCAGACTCTCGCTCCGTGGGTGTAAAGGCTGGCTGGTCTCTTGGGAGAGTTAGTTACCACTGGAGCCAAGTGTAAGGAGTGGCTTGTGGCTTTCCCAGCGTTTTCATGACAGACTGCAGCTCCCCTAGCAGGCAGGTTCAGTAATTTTTCTAGCAGTTAGTCTCAGAAAGACATCTAGAGTCTGCTCCTCTAGTCCTTTCATTGACTGTGTAATCCTAATCTCTATAAAGCCCCTAATTCTTAAAGCTCTCTCTCTCTCTACATATATACACAGATAGAGAGAGAGACAGACAGACAGACAGACAGACATCTTCTGCTAATAGGTAGAATATTTTCTGTAACCCACAACTGAATCTTGAATGATTTTTTTAATTAAAAATATATAAACCTGATTCAGAGAAATCAGCAACACTATTCTGTAGTAGAGAACATGGCTTAAATCCACTGTCATAATTAGCCTAAAGGTTTGCTGCAGGCCTTGGAGTAACTTTTCCAAGGAGGAGCTGAGTCTACAGAGTAGACGGACCCAACCAAAATCACCCAGGCAGCTCAGCCAGAAAGTGAGCAGAACAAATACCCAGCATGGCCTCAAACCAGTGCCGTCCAACACAGCAGCAGTCAGGAGCGCGGGGCTAGCACATGCTCGATGTGCGGCCAGTCCAAACGGAGATGTTCTGTGATGTGCCATGCTGGATCTTAAAGGCTTAGTACTAAAAATAACAAATAACATAAGCACATGTGCTTCACCTCAAGGAACAAGGACCAGAGCAGAATGCACCCTTTCTGCTGACAGGAATCAGCAGGAGCCAGACTGGCTGGTGGGGAGGGGGCCTAAGCCTGACATTTCCCGTTTCTTCTCTCAATTTCAGCAATCAGGACAATTACACACATCTTCTCCTTAACAAGTGTTGGAGGGAGGGGGTGCCAAGGGTGGAAGGAAAGAGACTTAAGCTCTTTATCCAAACCTTCTCAAAGGACAAGGCGGGAGGTCCTGTGTAGGAAAAAACAGACTTCTCCCTCCAAGAGTAATAACGATGAGAGCTTGCTATGTGCCAGCACTTTACAAAGTGCTTCATACATGTACTAGGCATAAAAGCCAGAATGAAACACACACACGTGCGCGCGCACACACACACACACACACACAAATAGTTTTAGTGGCAGCATTACTAGAATTCTTTTCTTTCCTTAATCTCTGCTCTATGAGGAGAGAGCAG